CGCCCACGGCAGAGCCGCTGGGCTCCTCCCTGCAGAGGCAGGTTCTGGCAACTCAGAGCTGGAGTCCGCTGCGAGGCCCGTTTCAGACCCCTGGCCCCTGCCACCCGGTAGCTTCCGACTGAAACCTCAGGGTCTGTCTTCCCCACAACGTGTGGAGGTCCACGTGTCCGCACCAGGCTGGGATCCGGGAAGGCTGAGGGAGCACCAGAGGCCCAGTAGGCGCTAGGGTCCTCTCTCCCACCATCTAGGGCACCCCTCCCTGAGTCCTCTCTGCTGGGGAGGAGCTGGCAGCATTTGTCTCAGACCCAGTACACGTTCTTGGACTGTGATATGGTGACCGCACGTCCCGCCAAAGGACGCCCGAGACCTTAGCGCTCTCGTCTGCGCAGAGTCCCCGGAACCCATCCCACTTCCCCGCTGGGCTTGTGAGGCTCTGGAGCGTGGGCTGGATGCGGAGGCCTGGGACCCCCCCCAGCTCTGCGAGGCCCCCGGAGCCTCTGGAGGCTGGTCTGCAGTGAGCTGCGCTTGACCAAGCCAAGCTCTGGTGGCCGCTGTGGCCACTCCCCTCGGCTTCCCCTGCCCTGCCCCTGCCCCAGATCTCCTCAGTGTCTGCCAGCAGGCAACACCCAGCTCGGGAGCAGATGCCATCGCAGGCTCAGCCCTGCCCTGCGTGGCTGCACACGCAGGTGTGTGTGCGGTTCTTGGCCCTACACCTGGATGTGTCTTGGAGCACTCAGCCTGCTGTCTCAGCCCACTGCCCACCTTCCAGGAAAGCTCTGCACTTCGAGCCATGGTTGGGATGGCTGCCTGGGGACCTCCGCGGCCACACCCCAGTGGCACCCTCAGAGACCTGCTCTAAAGCAGGACACCTAGCTTGACATGGCTTAGGAGAGCCCGGGGGGTACCATGAAGTGGCTCTTCTGGGATGTGGCAGACAAGACTCTAGAATGGCTCTGTGACCCGTCTCCTGGTGTTCACACCCTTGTGTGGCCTCACCTTGAGTATGTGCAGGACCTGTGCCTTGTGACCAACAGAACATACGGTGGCCATGGAGTGTCACTCCCGTGACCCTGTGACAATCAAGTGGAATACTTTCTTGGTAGAAGTCTGTCCCTTGCTGCATTAATGAAGCAAGCTGCCAGACAGTGACCCATCCTATGGAAAGGCCTGCGCAGCCTCCAGCCAGGAAGAGACAGATTGCTGTCATCCAGGCCACAAGGACTCGAGCGTGACCAGTAGCCACACCAGCTCCAGGAACGGCCCCTTCCCCAGTCAGGCTTGGAGGGAAGCCCCCAGTCCTGGATGACACCTTGATAGCAGCCCTGTGAGACCCTGAGCAGAGAGTCCAGCCATGCCATGCCTGGGCTCTTGTGTCTAAAAACTGGGGGAGTCATAAATGCATGCTCTTTTAGGCCACTGTTGAGTGGTGATATCCTTATGCACACAAGGGAACCAAGGCCACCCAGGCACCCTGGGTCCTTCGCTGCTCAGCTGCTCCCCTCATGGTGTGACAGCTGCCTCTCTGGCCTCCAGCTCTAAGGTCCCACTGTCCCAGGCTTTGACCCCATGGTCAGAGAGGGACAAAAACCCCATGGAGCCCGGCAGACTCCCACCGCAGTGCTCCTGGGCTGTACTCACCAAGTCTGCACACACTACTTAGGGTGGAGAGAAGCAGAAGCCCTAAGCTGGAGAGGGCAACTGCCTTGCTCAGCTGTGGGACGAGAGTCCTCTGAAGTTCCTTTCCCACTGCCCTACCCAGAGCACCCAGGGCCCTTTGTCAGTTCACTTTCTAGAGTCTTCTATGTCCTCTAAGTTGGGTGACCCCCCCCAGCCAGCACAAGGAGGTACACACATGCCCACGCTGGCACAGGGGGAGGCCCGGCCTATTCCCACAGGTTATGCTCTGTGCGCCACAGCTACTGCCTCTCTGGACCCCTCAGGACAACAGAGAGAGTGTCAGTCGCCCTCTGGGCTCAGGGTCCGCCAACATGGCTCACAGCCTGGCTCTGGCTCCGAAACCCACAGCCACAAGAGCAGCCACCTCCCCAATAAGCACTTGTTGCCAGGAGTCCGCCTGGACCAGGAGGGGAGCTGGAGCCAGGTTCCAGTTGCCCTCTAGGAATGCTGAGGCCCACAGGCCTAGCAGAGGGATCTGAGGGCAGCTGGGAGGAGATCTAACCACAGAGAGGTTATGGGAACCACCCCCCTCCCCCGCTACCCACCTGATTCCCACATGGACTTGCTTCCTGTGGGCAGCCCAGAATGAGGGCCCTGGTGAGGAAAGAAGTTTCCAAGGGTGGCCCCTCACCACAGCCTAGGACGGCTCTCTGTGCTGCCCTCTGTACTCTGCCCCCATCTTCACACTGCCTCCAGCTGACTGGATGAGGGTCCTATGGTTGTCCCCGCCCCTGCAAGCTCAGCCCTGTCTCCTTCCTTGTTGTTCCCCTTATAGCCTCTGGCTCAGAGGAAGTTCTAGATGAGTGGATGATGCATGGACAACCACTCTCTTGTCCCTGCTGTTTTCTAGGGCCATGTGGGAGAGACAGGGAGTGCACCAGAGGCCTGGGAGTTTCAACAGAGACAAAAGACCTCGCAGTCCCCACCATGGGAGGCACAGTGCCTTTATTGCAGGTCCAGGGAACACACAAGCCAGCTCTTCTGCATTTGGGCACAGCGTGTACACCAAGGGGCTTGGAGGCCACAGCGTGAGACCATGCCTGCTGGAGATGCCCTGGTGGACACCAGTGGGCCAGTGGACACAGAGAGATGTCTAGTGACAACTCAAGGTCATCTTTACCTCTGCTGGCATGCCCCGCCCATCAGCCACTGGCAGTCCTCTCTTCCTAGCATGCGTGCATGTCCCACAAAGCGTTACCAAGCTCCGCTAGTGATCCAGTCAGCAAGGAGGAAGCTCTAGGTGGGCAGGAAGCAGGGTTTTCTGTAAAACACCCCACTCTGCCCGAGACGGGAAAACTACATTTGCCAGGAAGCAGCAGCAGCAGGATAGATGTGACACCAAAAGCTACTTCTATATCCACAGCCTTCACAACCCTTTCCTCAAAGAGACAGTCATGTTCTCGTGGCCTTGTGGGCAGGTCTTTTGAAATCTGCCCGATGAAGACCAGCCCCTCCCAGCAGCGCCTTCAAGTGCCATGGGAATCACAGCATCCTATGGAAAGTCAGGGTGTCTTCTGGGCTCTGAAAGCTTTGAAGGAGCCAGGCAGAGTTTTGGTTCAATTTTAGGAAGGCTGTGTGAGGGTGACACAGCCGTCCTGTCTATTTCTGCTTTGTTCCTCGTTCTGGAAAGCCAGGTAGATGCCATGTGCTGTGGGGAGAAAGTGTTCTCACACGGGTGCGGCCTCTGCTTTTCGGCGTGTCTCCACGTCTGTCTTCCAATGACAAGTCTCCACTTGGCCTTCATAGGTCATGGTTTGGGTGCAGATTTGTCACCAACCTTTCTATCCTGCTCCAGCAGGATTAACTCTGTTCTTGCCACAGAAGTCACCATCCCTCTGGAGCCTGGCCCGGCGTTTGAAGCCCCTCCCAGCTCACCTTCCTCCTTCTCTTCCGGAGAGAAGCTGTCTCGGGCATCAAAAAAGGTGACTGTTTCTTCCTGGAGCTTCTCTGCCGAGTCAGCCTCGTCTTCTGTGCTTCTGCCCTTCTTGGAGGGAGAAGAGAACCCTAATTTGGGAAATCGGAACCAGCCTGCCTTCTCCTGCTTTCTGGGCAGTTCTGCCTCTGGACGTGCCTCAGGCTGAGTCTGCACAGGAGCAGACCTCGGGACCTCATCTTTGGAATCAACGCTTGTTTCAACAGAAGAAGAAAACCCAATATTTGGAAACCAAAACCAGAGGCTAGAAGGCTTTTTGCTTCCCGGTCTCTCTCTTGGAGTGCTGTCTGCTTCGGTCAGTGATGAAGCCGCCTCTTGGCTGCCATCAGGGAAAAACTCAAGGATTTCTGCCGGTTCCTCATCTGAACAGCTGTCTGCTAGCTGGCTGCCAGAGTGAACTTCACACGGGAGTGCTTGTGGCCCTGGCACGTGATCACCAGGAGAGATTATCTCAAATGGTTCTCCGGCATCAGGCTGGGGGTCTCTGGAAATGGAGTCTCCTCCTAGGGTAGCCTGTGTGGGAGTCTCTTCCAAGTCCTCCCAAGTCCGAGCATGCTGAGCCACTGCACACACTCCAACCTGTGTGGGGGGCTCTGGGATCTTCACCTTCAGCAAGGAAAATCCATAAGCGGGTGTCTGAATCTCAGACACCGGGATCTCTGATTCCCGCACAATCTGGGTGGAGAAAGGCTCGGGTGACGGGACATCCACAAACTCCGATGTCACCCTGCTGTGGATGGTGACCTCATGGCTCTTGACCTGGGCACTCTGAATGTGTACTCTGACCTTTGAAATGGGCGATGCTTCCAAGGAGAGGTCGAGGTCCAGGGGCTGCTCCTCGGGGGCCCCAGTGCCTGCCTTCAAGAGGCTGGCTCCCCAGAGCCCGGGACTTTCCCTACACAGGGCTGCATCAACACCAGCCTCTAGACACTGCACTTCCCGCACAGTAGGAATGAACACATCGGCCTCTGAGCTGGGGGCAGGGAAGGAAAACCTGGGGACCCGCAATTTGGGGAATCTGACAGTGAGCACAGAATCTTCCCAGACTTGATTCATGTTAACCACAGATATCACGGACGGGACATCTGTGCTCGATGCCTTCAGTTTAAGAGGACCTTCGGGCTCTGTTTTCTCCTCCAACCTGGCAATGTCAAATGCTCCTGGTATGGGAATAGAAGTCCCACCTGCTGCCCCCAGAGGAGCCTGGGTCTCTGAAGTTCTCACACCAGACATCTGATCAGGGAGGGGGCCTTCGGCCCGATGGACCCTGGCCTCAGAAGGGGAAGGCTCAGCTTCGGGCATCCTGGCGGTGGAGAGGCACGTCTTCCAGCCCGTGCTGCCAAGATCATGCCTGCGAACATCTGTGGACAACTTGCTCTCGGAAGCTGTCACACCTGCATCTGCTTCTGGGGGCTGCAGGGACACACTTGACTCCACTTTTGACTCAGGGATGGGGAACCCCTTGACGCCAGCCGCTGCTGCACCCTGTGTTGCTGCACTGTCAGTTAGGGCCTGTGTTGGAGCTGCTTCCTGCTTCCCAGCCCGGCCCTTGTCCCTGGAGGACCGTCTGAGGCTGGGCATGCGGAACTTGGGCATTTTAAACCAGCTCTCCTGCGAGTCCACGGGCACTTCTCCTGTGATGGCCTCCTGCTCTGGGCCTTCCACAGTGGGGACTTCAGCATCTGGTTTTTGACAGGACGGCTGGACAGGGTCTTCTGTTGTGAGGGCTGTCCCTTCCCCACAGGGCTGGGCTGCTGGGATGTCCCCAACTCGTTTGGGAAGAAGCACATCTGCTTCGGTCAGGCTCACCTCCACCTTGGTCTTGGAGGACCTGTGATCGGGTTTGGCAAAGCCCAAACTGGGAATGTGGACCTGAGGCAGATGCAGGTTCACACCCTCTGCTTCTGGGGTGCCCACTATTACACCATGGTGCTCACTGCCACCATCACCGCTGACCCCTTCCGTGGCTGAAAAGCTACTCCCTACTGTCGTACTAGGAAGCGAAGGGTCCACATCTTCCTGTGGCAGGCCGACCACACCCTTAGGTGCCTTCATCTTGGGAAGGGCGAGTCTGGGCCTGGCAAAACTGGGCTTCCGGACCCGTCCCTTCTCTCCATCCTGCTCAGGAGGCAGGTCCACATGCATTTCCACTGGGGACATGTAAGCCCCAGGCTGGGTGTCCACTGTGTCCATGTCTAATACCACATTGAGGTCTGAGTCCTTCAGGCTGCATTCAGGGTCTCCTTTTGGCTCTGCCTCCTTCTTTGGAGACCATCTAAATGACGGAAGTTTGAACTTTGGCATTTTGAAAGGACTCCCCTTCTCATCGTGTTCAACATTTTCCACTGGGGCTATGCCAGTGGCTGCTGCTGTCCCCAGGGAGCCTGAGTGCTCCTCCATCCCCGGGGACACAGAGAGGCTTGTGGCTGGCAGCTGAGTGCTTGACAAGGATACAATGACTTGCTCAGCCGGAAGGTCCAGCCCCCATCCAGGGCTAAGAGGAGATGGGACCGGGGCACCTTCTGCTGCACGTGAATCTCCATCCGGAATGGTTGCTCTTGGGATGGAAAACCCAAACTTTGGTTTATGGAATTTTGGAAAAGTCACCCGAACAGGAGAGGCAGGAAACAGGGGGCCCACAGGGTCAGGGTGACTATAAGTTTGAGGCACTTGAATGTCCTCTAGAGAGTGAAAGTCAGCAGAGCTCTCGGTGACAGCAAGGCCAATATCAGCCTGAGGTATGGAAGTTTCCAGAATAAGTTCAGAGGCCAAGGCAGCTTTGGGAAGAGTTACCTGGTATTTAGTAAGAGAGACACCCTCATTAAGACTGAGGATGGAAGAGTCCACATGGGAACCAGTGAGGTCAAGCCTGCATGAAGGAAATTCAGCAACGCCAACCTTGGATGCCTGCAAGGATCTTTCCAAGCCCAGCTCAGGCTCTGGCAAAGACTCCAATCCCTGAGATGCTGAGAGGGATCCTAGGGCACTCTGCATGAGACATACACCAGAGACCAGGGCACCTTCAGCTGCATGTGAGTCTCCATCCAGGACTACAGGGTCCTTAGAAGTTTTAGCTGAAGAAAAGGACACTTGGTGCATTTCTAAGTGAGGTTTCTTGAATTTCATTCCTTCTCCAATTTTTTCAATAGAAATACCTGACAAGGTATCAATAACGGGTTGATGACAACCACTTGAAATAACAATATCAGAGTCGATTTCACCAGCAATATGAGTCTTGTCAGAAAATGTAATACTTCCCTCAACATCAGATGAAGTTGATGATTTGCGAGAATGCCACGCAAAGGACGGCATGCTCACTTTAGGCATTTTGAATTTGCTGTCTTTGGTGGAAACGTCCTTCACATTCACAGACAGGTCCCCTTGCAACGTAGCATTGGAGGCCTGGAAATCAAATTGGGATATGCGCCCTTTGAGTCCAGGTCGAGAAGTCTGTGCTGACAGCTCTCCCTCAGGCAGCTGACCCTCCGGGAACTTCACACCCACCTGATCGCCCTTGGCCTCCAGGTCGGCGGACGGGAGCCGGATGCTGAGGTCACCGGTCTTTAGGTCGCCCGGGATGGAGGGCACTGTCACGTCGGCCTCCACCTTGGGGGTGGACACATCCACGTCCACCGAGGCCTCGATGGACTTGCCAGGCGCTGACACTCTGAACGATGGCATCTTGAACTTGGGCATCTTGAACTTGCTGTCCTTGGCAGCCACGTCCCTGTCGCCCAGGGACAGGTCACCCTTCAGTTTGGCTCCCGGGGCCTGGAGGTCCACCTCCACACTGGGCAGAGACACTTCCAGGTCAGGGGCACTCACCTCCCCCTTGGAGCGCTTCAGGTCCAGCATGGGGCCCTTTACATCCACCTGGGGGCCCTTAAAGTCCACTTTGGACATCTTCAAGCTCGGCATCTGCACCTTGGGCAGGTGGCCTTTGAGGCCGGCTCCAGCTGCCTTTGCCGACAGCTCTCCCTCAGGCAGCTGGCCCTCCGGGATTTTCATGCCCACCTGGCCGGCCTTAGCCTCCTGGTCGGCAGATGGGAGCTGGATGCTGAGGTCACCAGTCTTGAGGTCACCCTGGATGGAGGGCACCGTCACGTCGGCCGCCACCTTGGGCGCGGACACATCTACATCCACCGAGGCCTCGATGGACTTGCCTGGCGCCGACAGCCCGAACGACGGCATCTTGAACTTGGGCATCTTGAACTTGCTGTCTTTGGCGGCCACATCCTTGTGGCCCAGGGACAAGTCCGCCTTCAGTTTGGCTCCTGGGGCCTGGGGGTCTACCTCTACGCTGGGCAGAGACACCTCCAAGTCATGGGTGCTCACCTCCTCCTTGGGGCCCTTCAGGTCCAGCATGGGGCCCTTGACATCCACCTCGGGGCCCTTGAGGTCCACTTTGGGCATCTTGAAGCTGGGAATCTCCATCTTGGGCAGGTGGCCTTTGAGTCCAGCTCCAGCCGCCTGTACCAACAACTCTCTCTCAGGCAGCTGGCCCTCCGGGAGTTTCACACCCACCTGGGCAGCCTTGACCTCCAGGTTGGCGGACGGGAGCTGGATGCTGAGGTCACCTTGGATGGAGGGCACCATCACGTCGGCCTCCACCTTGGGTGTAGACATGTCCACATCCACCGAGGGCTCGAAGGACTTGCCTGGCGCCGACACCCCGAATGATGGCATCTTGAACTTGGGCATCTTGAACTTGCTTTCCTTGGTGGTCACATCCTTGTCGCCCAGGGACAGGTCTCCCTCCAGCTTGGCTCCTGGGGAATGGAGATCCACCTCCACGCTAGGCAGAGACACCTCCAGGTCACGGGCGCTCACGTCCCCCTTGGGGCCCTTCATGTCTAGCTTGGGGCCCTTGACATCCACCTGGGGGCCCTTGAGGTCCACTTTGGGTATCTTGAAGCTGGGAATCTGCACCTTGGGAAGGTGGCCTTTGAGGCCGGCTCCTGCTGCCTGTGCCAACACCTCTCCCTCGGGCAGCTGGCCCTCCGGGGGCTTCACGCCCACCTGGCTAGCCATGGCCTCCAAGTCGGCAGACGGGAGCTGGATGCTGATATCACCAGTTTTGACGTCGCCCTGGATGGAGGGCACTGTCAAGTCGGCCTTTACCTTAGGCGCGGACACGTCCACATCCACCAAGGCCTTGATGGACTTGACTGGCGCCGACACCCCGAACGACGGCATCTTGAACTTGGTCATCTTGAACTTGCTGTCTCTGGTGGCCACATCCTTGTCACCCAGGGACAGATCCCCCTCCAGTTGGGCTCCTGGGGCCTGGAGGTCCACCTCCACACTGGGCAGAGACACCTCCAGGTCAGGGCCACTCACCTCCCCCTTGGGGCCCTTGAAGTCCAGCTTTGGGCCCTTGATGTCCACCTGGGGGCCCTTGAGGTCCACTTTGGGCATCTTGAAGCTGGGCATCTGCACCTTGGGCAGGTGACCTTTGAGTCCAGCTCCAGCCGCCTGTGCCGATAGCTCTCCCTCGGGCAGCTGGCCCTCTGGGAGCTTCACTCCCACCTGACTGGCCTCGGCCTCCAGAACAGCGGACGGGAGCTGGATGCTGAGGTCACCGGTCTTAAGGTCGCCCTGGATGGAGGGCACCATCACGTCGGTTGCCATCTTGGGCCCAGACATGTCCACGTCCACGAAGGCCTCGATGGACTTGCCTGGCGCCGACTCCCCGAACGATGGCATCTTGAACTTGGGCATCTTGAACTTGCTGTCTTTGGAAGCCATGTCCTTGTCGCTCACAGACAGGTCTGCCTCCAGCTTGACTCCCGAGGCCTGGAGGTCCACCTCCATGCTGGGCAGAGACACCTCCAGGTCACGGACGATCACTCCATCCTTGGGGCCCTTCATGTCTAGCTTGGGTCCCTTAACATCCACCTGGGGACCCTTGAGGTCCACTTTGGGCATCTTGAAGCTGGGCATCTGCACTTTGGGCAGGTGTCCTTTGAGACCGGCTCCTGCCACCTGTGCCGACACCTCTCCCTCGGGCAGATGGCCCTCTGGGAGCTGCACGCCCACCTGGCCAGCCTTGGCCTCCAGGTCAGCAGACGGGAGCTGGATGCTGTGGTCACCGGTCTTGAGGTCGCCCTGGATGGAGGGCACCGTCACATTGGCCTCCACCTTGGGCATGGACATGTCCACGTCCTCCAAGGCCTTGATGGACTTGCCTGGCGCTGACACCCCAAATGACGGCATCTTAAACTTGGGCATCTTGAACTTGCTGTCTTTGGAAGCCATATCCTTGTCGCCCAGGGACAGGTCCGCCTCCAGCTTAGCTCTTGGGGCCTGGAGGTCCACCTCCACGCTGGGCAGAGATACCTCCAGGTCACAGGCGCTCATTTCCCCCTTGGGGCCCTTCATGTCTAGCTTGGGGCCCTTGACATCCACCTGGGGGCCCTTGAGGTCCACTTTGGGCATCTTGAAGCTGGGAATCTGCACCTTGGGAAGGTGGCCTTTGAGGCCGGCTCCTGCCGCCTGTGCCGACACATCTCCCTCGGGCAGCTGGCCCTCCGGGGTCTTCACGCCCACCTGGCCGGCCATGGCCTCCAAGTCGGCAGACGGGAGCTGGATGCTGAAATCACCTGTTTTGATATCGCCCTGGATGGAGGGCACCGTCAAGTCAGCCTTTACCTTGGGGGCAGACACATCCACGTCCACTGAGGCCTCAATGGACTTGCCTGGCGCCAACACCCCAAACGACGGCATCTTGAACTTGGGCATCTTGAACTTGCTGTCTCTGGTGGCCACGTCCTTGTCACCCAGGGAAAGGTCCCCTTCCAGCTGGGCTCCTGGGTCCTGGAGGTCTACCTCCATGCTGGGCGGAGACACCTCCAAGTCAGGGGTGCTCACCTCCCCCTTGGGGCCCTTCAAGTTCAGCTTGGGGCCCTTGATGTCCACCTGGGGTCCCTTGAGGTCCACTTTGGGCATCTTGAAGCTGGGCATCTGCACCTTGGGCAGGTGTCCTTTGAGACTGGACCCAGCTGCTTTTGCCAACAGCACTCCCTCAGGCAGCTGGCCCTCCGGGAGCTTTATGCCCTCCTGGCCGGTCTTGGCCTCCAGGTTGGTGGACGGGAGCTGGATACTGAAATCAGCAGTCTTGACGTCGCCCTGGATGGAGGGCACCATCAAGTCAGCCTTTAGCTTGGGCATGGACACGTCCACGTCCACCGAGGCCTCGATTGTCTTGCCTGGCGCTGGCACCCCAAACGACGGCATCTTGAACTTAGGCATCTTGAACTTGCTGTCTTTGGCTGCCACGTCCTGGTCTCCCAGGGACAGGTCCCCCTCCAGGTGGGCTCCTGGGGCCTGGAGGTCCACCTCCACTCTGGGCAGAGACACCTCCAGCTCTGGGGCGCTCACCTCCCCCTTGGAGCCCTTCAAGTCCAGCTTGGGGCCCTTGACATCAGCCTGGGGGCCCTTAAGGTCCACTTTGGGCATCTTGAAGCTGGGCATCTGCATCTTGGGCAAGTGGCCTTTGAATCCGGCTCCAGCCGCCTGTGCTGACGGCTCTCCCTCAGGCAGCTGGCCCTCTGGGAGCTTCACACCCACCTGGCCGGCCTTGGCCTCCAGGTCGGTGGACGGGAGCTGGATGCTGAGGTCACCGGTCTTGAGGTCGCCCTGGACGGAGGGCATCATCACATCGGCCTCCACCTTGGGCATGGACACGTCCACCGAGGCCTCAATTGTCTTGCCTGGCGCCAACACCCCAAACGACGGCATCTTGAACTTGGGCATCTTGAACTTGCTGTCTTTGGCAGTCACGTTCTGGTCTCCCAGGGACAGGTCCCCTTCCAGCTGGGCTCTTGGGGTCTGGAGGTCTACCTCCACGCTGGGCAGAGACACCTCCAGGTCAGGGGCACTCACCTTGCCCTTGGGGCCCTTCAAGTCCAGCTTGGGACCTTTGATGTCCACCTGGGGGCCCTTGAGGTCCACTTTGGGCATCTTGAAGCTGGGCATCTGCACCTTGGGCGGGTGTCCTTTGAGACTGGACCCAGCTGCCTTTGCCGACAGCTCTCCCTCAGGCAGCTGGCCCTCTTGAAGCTTCACGCCCACCTGGCCAGCCTTACCCTCCAGGTCGGCAGACAAGAGCTGAATGCTGAAGTCACCGGTCTTGTGGTCGCCCTGGATGGAGGGCACCGTCACGTCGGCCTCCACCTTGGGCATGGACACATCCACGTCCACCGAGGCCTCAAAGGACTTGCCTGGTGCCGACACCCCGAACGATGGCATCTTGAACTTGGGCATCTTGAACTTACTGTCCTTGACGGCCACGTCCCTGTCGCCCAGGGACAGGTCTCCCTCTAACTTGGTTCCCGGGTCCTGGATGTCCACCTCCACGCTGGCCAGAGACACCTCCAGGTCAGGGACGCTCACTTCTGCCTTGGGGCCCTTCATGTCCAGCGTGTGGCCCTTGACGTCCACCTGGGGGCCCTTGAGGTCCAGTTTGGGCATCTTGAAGCTGGGCATCTGCACCTTGGGCAGGTGTCCTTTGAGGCCGGCTCCTGTCACCTGTGCCGACAGCTCTACCTTGGGCAGCTGGCCCTCCGGGAGCTTCACGCCCACCTGGCCGGTCTTGGGCTCCAGGTCGGTGGATGGGAGCTGGATGCTGAAATCACCAGTCTTGGCATCGCCCTGGATGGAGGGTACTGTCAAGTCGGCCTTTACCTTAGGCGCAGACACGTCCACGTCCAGGGAGGCCTCGATGGACTTGCCTGACTCTGACACCCCAAACGACGGCATCTTGAACTTGGGCATCTTGAACTTGCTGTCTTTGGCAGCCACGTCCTGGTCTCCCAGGGACAGGTCTTCCTCCAGCTGGGTTCCTGGGGCCTGGAAGTCCACCTCCACGTTGGGCAGAGACACCTCCAGGTCAGGGGCGCTCACCTCCCCCTTGGGGTCCTTCACGTCCAGCCTGGGGCCCTTGACGTCCACCTGGGGGCCCTTGACGTCCACTTTGGGCATCTTGAAGCTGGGCATCTGCATCTTGGGCAGGTGGCCTTTGAATCCGGCTCCAGCTACCTGTGCTGACAGCTCTCCCTCAGACAGCTGGCCCTCTGGGAGCTTCACACCCACCAGGCCGGCCTTGGCCTCTAGGTCGGTGGACGGGAGTTGGATGCTGAGGTCACCAGTCTTGAGGTCGCCCTGGACGGAGGGCATCATCACATCGGCCTCCACCTTGGGCATGGACACATCCACGTCCACCGAGGCCTCGATTGTCTTGCCTGGCGCCGACACCCCAAACGACGGCATCTTGAACTTGGGCATCTTGAACTTACTGTCTTTGGCACCCACGTCCTGGTCTCCCAGGGACAGGTCCTCCTCCAGCTGGGCTCCTGGGGCCTGGAGGTCCACCTCCACGCTGGGCAGAGACACCTCCAGGTCAGGGGCGCTCACCTTGCCCTTGGGGCCCTTCACGTCCAGCGTGTGGCCCTTGACGTCCACCTGGGGGCCCTTGAGGTCCACTTTGGGCATCTTGAAGCTGGGCATCTGCATCTTGGGCAGGTGGCCTTTGAATCCGGCTCCAGCTACCTGTGCTGACAGCTCTCCCTCGGACAGCTGGCCCTCTGGGAGCTTCACACCCACCAGGCCGGCCTTGGCCTCTAGGTCGGTGGACGGGAGTTGGATGCTGAGGTCACCGGTCTTGAGGTCGCCCTGGACGGAGGGCATCATCACATTGGCCTCCACCTTGGGCATGGACACGTCCACATCCACTGAGGTCTCCATGGACTTGCCGGGGCCCGACACCCCGATCGACGGCATCTTGAACTTGGGCATCTTGAACTTGCTGTCTTTGGTGGCCACATCCTTGTCTCTCAGGGACAGATCCGCCTCTAGCTTGGCTCCCGGGGCCTGGAGGTCCACCTCCACGTTGGGCAGGGATACCTCCAGGTCATGGGCACTCCCTTCCCCCTTGGGGCCCTTCTTGTCTAGCTTGGGGCCCTTGACATCCACATGGGGGCCCTTGAGGTCCACTTTGGGCATCTTGAAGCTAGGCATTTGCACCTTGGGCAGGTGGCTTTTGAGGCCAGCTCCTGACGTCTGTGCTGACAGCTCTCCCTCAGGCAGCTGGCCTTCCGGGAGCTTCACACCCACCTGGCCAGCCTTCGCCTCCAGGTCGGCAGACGGGAGCTGGATGCTGATGTCTCCAGTCTTCAGGTCGCCATGGATGGAAGGCATCATCACATCGGCCTCCAACTTGGGCATGGACACGTCCACGTCCACTGAAGCCTCGATGGACTTGCCTGGCCCCGACACCCCGAACGACGGCATCTTGAACTTGGGCATCTTGAACTTGCTGTCTTTGGCAGCCAAGTCCTGGTCTCCCAGGGACAGGTCCCCTTCCAGCTGGACTCTTGGGGTCTGGAGGTCCACCTCCACACTGGGCAGAGACACCTCCAGGTCTGGGGCACTCACCTCCCCCTTAGAGCCCTTCAATTCCAGCTTGGGGACCTTGACATCCACCTGTGGGCCCTTGAGGTCCACTTTGGGCATCTTGAAGCTGGGCATCTGCACCTGAGGCAGGTGTCCTTTGAGACCAGCCCCAGCTGCCTTTGCTGACAACTCTCCCTCGGGCAACTGGCCCTCCGAGAGCTTCACGCCAACCTGGCCAGCCTTGGCCTCCAGGTCGGTGGACAGTATCTGGATGCTGAAATCACCAGTCTTGACATCGCTCTGGGTGGAGGGCACCGTCAAGTCAGACTTTACCTTGGGTGGGGACATGTCCACGTCAACCTCCGACACCCCGAACGACGGCATCTTGAACTTGGGCATCTTGAACTTGCTGTCTTTGGCGGCCACGTCCTGGTCTCCCAGGGACAGGTCCCCCTCCAGCTGGGCTCCTGGGGCCTGGCGATCCACCTCCAAACTGGGCAGAGACACCTCCAGGTCAGGGACGCTCACCTCCCCCTTGGGGCCCTTCAGGTCCAGTGTGGGGCCCTTGATGTCCACCTGGGGGCCCTTGAGGTCCACTTTGGGCATCTTGAAACTGGGCATCTGCACCTTGGGCAGGTGGCCTTTGAGGCCAGGTCCTGTCACCTGTGCCGACACCTCTCTCTCGGGCAGCTGGCCCTCCGGGAGCTTCATGCCCACCTGGCCCGCCTTGGCCTCCAGGTCGGCAGATGGAAGCTGAATGCTGAGGTCACCGGTCTTCAGGTCACCATGGATGGAGGGCATCATCATGTCGGCCTCCACCTTGGGCACGGACACGTCAATGTCCACCGAGGCCTCGATGGACTTGCCTGGTCCCGACACCCCGAACGACGGCGTCTTGAACTTGGGCATTTTGAACTTGCTGTCTTTGGCTGCCACGTCCTGGTCTCCCAGGTACAGGTCTCCCTTCGGCAGGGCTCTTGGGGTCTGGAGGTCCACCTCCACGCTGGGCAGAGACACCCCCAGGTCAGGGGTGCTCACCTCCCCCTTGGGGTCCTTCAAGTCCAGCTTGGGGCCCTTGACATCCACCTCAGGGCCCTTGAGGTCCACTTTGGGCATCTTGAAGCTGGGAATCTGCACCTTGGACAGGTGGCCTTTGAGGCCAGCTCCAGCCACCTGTGCCGACAGTTCTCCCTCGGGCAGCTGACCCTCTGGAATCCTAACGCCCACCTGGCCGGCCTTGGCCTCCAGGTCTGCAGATGGGAGCTGCATGCTGAGGTCACCAGTCTTCAGATCACCCTGAATGGAGGGCACTGTCACCTCGGCCATCACCTCTGGCGCGGACATCTCCACATCCACTGAGGCCTCGATGGACTTTTCTGGCGCCGACACCCCAAACGACGGCATCTTGAACTTGGGCATCTTGAACTTGCTGTCTTTGGCGGCCACGTCCTGGTCTCCCAGGGACAGGTCCCCCTCCAGCTGGGCTCCTGGGGCCTGGAGGTCCACCTTCACGCTGGGCAGAGACACCTTCAGGTCAGGGGCGCTCACCTCCCCCTTGGGGCCCTTCAAGTCAAGCTTGGGGCCCTTGACGTCCACCTGGGGACCCTTGAGGTCCACTTTGGGCATCTTGAAGCTGGGCATCTGCACCTTGGGCAGGTGGCCTTTGAGGCCGGCTCCTGTCACCTGTGCCGACACCTCTTCCTTGGGCAGCTGGCCCTCCGGGAGCTTCATGCCCACCTGGCCCGCCTTGGCCTCCAGGTCGGCGGACGGAAGCTGGATGCCGAGGTCACCGGTCTTCAGGTCACCATGGATGGAGGGCATCATCCTGTCGGCCTTCACCTTGGTCATGGACATGTCAACGTCCACCGAGGCCTCGATGGATTTGCCTGGCCCCGATACCCCGAACGATGGCATCTTGAACTTGGGCATCTTGAACTTTCTGTCTTTGGTGGCCACGTCCTGGTCTCCCAGGGACAGGTCCCCTTCCACATGGGCTCCTGGGGCCTGGAGGTTCACCTCCATGCTGGGCAGAGACAACTCCAGGTCAGGGGCGCTCACCTCCCCCTTGGGGCCCTTGAAGTCCAGCTTGGGGCCCTTGACATCCACCTCGGGGCCCTTGAGGTCCACTTTGGGCATCTTGAAGCTGGGAATCTGCACTTTGGGTAGGTGGCCTTTGAGGCCAGCTCCAGCCACCTGTGCCGACAGTTCTCCCTCGGGCAGCTGACCCTCTGGGATCCTCACGCCCACCTGGCCGGCCTTGGCCTCCAGGTCGGCAGATGGGAGCTGCATGCTGAGGTCACCGGTCTCCAGGTCACCCTGAATGGAGGGCACCGTCACCTCGGCCATCACCTTGGGTGCAGACATGTCCACGTCCACTGAGGCCTCGATGGACTTGTCTGGCACCAACACCCCGAACGACGGCATCTTGAACTTGGGCATCTTGAACTTACTGTCTTTGGTGGCCAGGTCCTGGTCTCCCAGGGACAGGTCCCCCTCCAGCTGGGCTCCTGGGGCCTGGAGGTCCACCTTCACGCTGGGCAGAGACACCTCCAGGTCAGGGGTGCTCACCTCCCCCTTGGGGCCCTTGAAGTCCAGCTTGGGGCCCTTGACGTCCACCTGGGGGCCCTTGAGGTCCACTTTGGGCATCTTGAAGCTGGGAATCTGCACTTTGGGCAGGTGGCCTTTGAGGCCAGCTCCAGCTGCCTGTGCCGACAGTTCTCCCTCGGGCACCTGGCCCTCTGGGATTTTCGCGCCCACCTGGCCGGCCTTGGCATCCAGGTCGGCGGATGGGAGCTGCATGCTGAGGTCACCGGTCTTCAGGTCACCCTGGATGGAGGGCACCATCACCTTGGCCATCACCTTGGGCGCGGACACATCCACGTCCACTGAGGCCTCGATGGACTTGTCTGGCGCCGACACCCCGAACGACGGCATCTTGAACTTGGGCATCTTGAACTTTCTGTCTTTGGTGGCCAGGTCCTGGTCTCCCAGGGACAGGTCACCCTCCAGTTGGGCTCCTGGGGCCTGGAGATCCACCTCCATGCTGGGCAGAGACACCTCCAGGTCAGGGGCGCTCACATCCCCCTTGGGGCCCTTCAAGTCCAACTTGAGGCCCTTGACGTCCACCTGGGGGCCCTTGAGGTCCACTTTGGGCATCTTGAAGCTGGGCATCTGCACTTTGGGCAGGTGGCCTTTGAGGCCAGCTCCAGGTGCCTGTACCGATAGTTCTCTCTTGGGCAGCTGGCTCTCCTGGAGCATCACACCCACCTGGCCGGCCATGGCCTCCAGGTCGGCGGATGGGAGCTGGGTGCTGAGGTCACCAGTCTTGAGGTCGCCCTGGATGGAGGGCATCATCACGTCAGCCTCCACCTTGTGCACAGACATGTCCACGTCCACCGAGGCCTCGATGGACTTGCCTGGCCCCGACAACCCAAACGACGGCATCTTGAACTTGGGCATCTTGAACTTGCTGTCTTTGGCGGCCACGTCCTTTTCGCCCAGGGACAGGTCCGCCTCCAGTTTGGCTCCCGGGGCCTGGAGGTCCACCTCCACACTGGGCAGAGACAACTCCAAGTCAGGTGCGCTCACCTCCCCCTTGGGGCCCGTCTGGTCCAGCCTGGGGCCCTTGACATCCACCTGGGTGCCCTTGAGGTCCACTTTGGGCATCTTGAAGCTGGGCATCTGCACCTTGGGCAGGTGGCCTTTGAGGCCGGCTCCTGACGTCTGTGCTGACAGCTCTCCCTCGGGCAGCTGGCCCTCCGGGAGTTTCACGCCCACCTGGCCAGCCTTGGCCTCCAGGTTGCTGGACGGGAGCTGGATGTTGAAATCACCAGTCTTGACATCACCCTGGATGGAGGGTACCATCAAGTCGGCCTTTACCTTGGGCATGGACACGTCCACGTTCACGTCCACCAAGGCCTCGATGGACTTGCCTGGCGCCGACATCCCGAACGACGGCATCTTGAACTTGGGCATCTTGAACTTGCTGTCTTTGGCAGCCATGTCCTGGTCTCCCAGTGACAGGTCCCCCTCCAGCTGGGCTCCTGGGGCCTGGAGGTCCACCTTCATGCTGGGCAGAGACACCTCCAGGTCAGGGGTGCTCACCTCCCCCTTGGGGCTCTTCAAGTCCAGCTTGGGGCCCTTGACGTCAACCTGCGGGCCTTTGAGGTCCACTTTGGGCATCTTGAAGCTGGGCATCTGCACTTTGGGCAGGTGGCCTTTGAGGCCAGCTCCAGCTGCCTGTGCCGACAGTTCTCCCTCGGGCAGCTGTCCCTCTGGGAGCTTCACACCCACCTGGCTGGCCTTTGCCTCCAGGTTGGCGGACGGGAGCTGGATGCTGAGGTCACCGGTCTTGAGGTCTCCCTTGATGGAGGGCATCGTCACGTCGGCCTCCACCTTGGGCACAGACATATCCACGTCCACCGAGGTCTCGGACTTGCCTGGCGCCCACACCCCAAACGATGGCATCTTGAACTTGGGCATCTTGAACTTGCCATCTTTGGCGGCCACGTCCTTGTCGCCCAGGGACAGGTCTGCCTCCAGCTTGGCTCCCGGGGCCTGTAGGTCCACCTCCACACTGGACAGAGACATCTCCAGGTCAGGGATGCTCACTTCCCCCTTGGGGCCCTTCAGGTCCAGCTTGGGGCCCTTGACGTCCACCTGGGGGCCCTTGAGGTCCACTTTGGGCATCTTGAAGCTGGGCATCTGCACCTTGGGCAGGTGGCCTTTGAGGCCGGCTCCTGTCACCTGTGCCGACACTTCTCCCTCGGGCAGCTGGCCCTCCGCGAGCTTCACGCTCACCTGGTCAGCCTTGGCCTCCAGGTCGGCGGATGGGAGCTGGATGCTGAGGTCACCGGTCTTGAGGTCTCCCTGGATGGAGGGCACCGTCCCGTCGACTGCCACGTTGGGCGCGGCCATGTCCACATCCACCGAGGCCTCGATGGACTTGCCTGGCGCTGACACCCCGAATGATGGCATCTTGAACTTGGGCATCTTGAACTTGCTGTCCTTCTGGCCCACCATCTTTTCTTTGAGGTTGTATTCTCTTCTTTCCTTGTCTCTGTCATCTGTCCCTTCTGTCATTTTAAATGTCGTTTCCAATTCCTCCGCATAGCTTTTGTCTCTGGATACATGTCTTGTGCTTGTCAGTGTTCTGTCACTGGTTGTAACCGTGGCCTTTTTTTCTTTTTCCCGCTGTGTCTCATCAATTGGCTTGTCTTTCTCTATCTTTGCCTCCCTACTGGGTGACCATCCAAATGTGGGCATTTTGAACTTTGGCATTTTTATCCTGGCTTCTGCTCCTTCTTTGTTCTCGTCCTCTTCCCCCTCAGTTCCTCTGCTCTTCTCATCTCGCTCCCTCTCTCTTTCTTTGTCCTTCTGTTCTTGAACATGCATGGTATGAACTCTGACTCGATGGCTTTTTGCCCTGCTTGCTTCCTCATCCTCAGAGCCAGCGCCCTCTCTATGGGATGGGACCTGTGTGTCCCCTACCTGCAGCGCTGCTCTACCTCTTTCTGTTTCCAGCGCTTCTTCTGTGGAAAATGCAAACTTGGGTGTTTTAAATTCATGTATCCGGACCCGGATTTCTGGCGTGTGCACCTCAGCTCTCCTTGGGGCCGTGTCTTGCAGGGACAGCCTGGCAATTCCCACCTCCAGGTTCTGCAGCACCCCCTCCTCGCCCTCCTGGCTCACTGCGACAGCTGGAGGTGGCCAGGGTTTCTGGGCTGCAGCCTCTGTGGGGGCCTTCTTATCCTTGGCCTTCCTCTGGCGTCTGGCTGCCTTTCCAGCTTTTGCTCCAGGGGCGCCCTCATCAGGGCCGAGGCCACCCTGCACCGCAGGCCTCTGCACGCCCTGAGCAGGTAACACCTCTGGCTCCTGTGCTGCCCTGTCCTCTTCTCTGCCATGTGTGGTGTCCCCAGTGTCCTCGAGGGTGTCCTCCCAAGGCCCCAACTCCTCCGGAACTGCAGCATGGCCCAGCGTACTTGCAAGCCCTCTGCCATGTCGCCCCAGCACAGAAGGGCCTTGCCCGGAGCCCGTCCTGAATCGCAGGTTCAGGAACTTTCTCCTCTGGCCTGTTCCTGACCTCTGTTCCTGCTGCTCTGCCATGAGCTGGGCCTCTGTATCTGTGCTTGTGGGGGACACATCCGGCCCGTCCCCACGCTCGTAGGCTTCTGAAGAGCTGTGTGACCGCCGGGGTGCCCGCCTGCCTGTTATTCCTTGGAATTTGGGCCAGGACAGCCGCTCCCTCTGGGCCTGCCGGCCTCTCCCCACCCTGGGCTTGGAGAGGAGTCTCTCCTCATCCCCATCTCTGTCCAGGGTCTTCGTAGGGGACTCTCTGCACTTGTCAGTGTCATCCTTGTCCTGAAACACAGGGAGAGGGAGCAAGTTGGTATCAGTACAAGAAGCCTGAGACCCTTGGCTCAGACAGATGGGGTCAGGGGGTGGCTCCCAGCCTTCGCCAGGGACTGTCAGGCTGGCTTGGCAGCCTCACCTGCTCGTCCTCGCCTTTTGGGCCATGCTGGGCCCTGATGGATGCCCAGTCGTCCTCCTCCTGGGTGGGGCGTCTCCGTTTGATTTTGAACTGAACCTTGTATGGCTCTGAGTACTGCAAGATTTTGAGAGCATCTTCATATTTAATGTTGTCAAAGAACACAGTTGCGCTGAGCAGCTGATCCCCTAGAGCAAAAAAGAGCAGCCCGGCCTCAGCGCCTTGGCACGTGAAGGAATGGGGCTCCTGCTGATGAGGCCTGCCCACCCCCCGCACTGAGGACCTTGGCAAGGAGTAGGTGGGTAATGGCCCCCACTTCTCCCAAGGGCGGGAGTGGCCCCCAGCCTGGAGGCAACTGGGCAGAGATGGAAGTGTGGTATCCCCCTCCAGGGTCCCTCCAGGTCCCTCCCATCCTAGCGGGATCAATGGGGATCCTGGGACAGCCCAGCCACGGCACCTTCTCTCAAGTTGAAGAACTTGGCAGCTGAGGAGTCCTTCAGCACTTGCTTGACAAAGATCCCCTTCTCTCCACCACCTGTGACACTGTAGCCGCTGGCTCCTGCCTCCACCTCTGTCTTCAGTGTCACCTCTGTTGCCTCCTGCATGGACTAGTGCAGAAGCACATTGGGGCTATGGTGAGCATGGGCCTGTCCTCCATGGGCATCACTGCTGGGGCCTGTGCCTCCCAAGGATAGGGCCCCATGGTCCTGCCCCTCAGTCCAAGCAACACAGCAGGGTGAAGATGTCTGCCCCTCGGCCCTGGTGGCTTGTCCGAGCGTTGGAAGAAGGCTGCTCTGAGCAGCCCCAGGCAGAAGCTGCCTCCAGCTCTCCCCAGGCCTGCCAAGAACTTCATGGCCCTTCTGTGTCACCAAGCCTGGTGCAGCATCAGGGCTGGACAGAACAGCTTCTGTTCTCCAAGCCACCAAAGCTTCCCTCCCTTGCCTCCTTCGTGCATTCTTTACAGACACCCCAGACACCAACTGCACACACAGTACCTAGTGCTCAGGCCAAAGGGAACAGAAATACCCAGAAAACGTAGGACACTGGGAGTAGCCAGCTGGACATCAGGCACAGTGGGACCTGGGGTCTTGGTGTCCCACAGAGCTTTTGAGTGCCCTCAGAGCCTCGCACCTTCCTCAGCCGCGAGGCCTGAGTGCTGCCTGGTCCCTCCACCCCTCACCTGCGTGTGCAACAGACTCCAGCATTACCCACTGTACATATGAGAAGTCTGAGGTCTGCACGTGCATGTGCTTCTGGCCAGGCCATCATGGAGGCAAGGACACATCTGGACCAGACTGCCAACTTCTGAAGCCTCTGCCCCTCCCCAGGCCTGACAAGGGGACAGGATGCCCCTCCCAGAACACTGGGCTCACTGCCAGCCTCCCTGCTCCTGCCTTTCTGGATGTGGCTTCCAACCCTCTGACTGGAGCCCTGGGGAGGGACACACGCCCCCGGCTTCTGCCATACTCACCTCCGGACGGCTCATCCTGAGGAATGTCTGGGAGTCCCCCGAGCCCCGCTTCCACCAGGATCTGCGTCTCCCTGAGGAGCCCTGCCGGTCGGGGATGTCCTGCATCCACAAGCGTTGGGAGTCAGACACTTGTCCTGCCCAGGGACTGTTCAGAGGGCCCAGGACCTCGAGGGTGCAGCCGTATGCAGGGGGTTGAGTTCTGCGGTGCCTCCCACCAGGAGAGGGCAGCTCATAGCCTCCTGTGCCCCAGCAGGGCCCGGCTGGCTGCCCACAGTTCCCCCGGGGACCCCCCACAGCACCTTGTGCAGAGGGGAATACGCAAGAAGTCCAACTCATACAAAAAGAGTCCTTCCATACACATGCCTCCCCTAGTCCCTGCCTGGAGGCTCCAGAGCCTGCCCCGGGACCCTGTCTGCATCAGGCTGGTGCACATGTGCACACACCCTTTGCCAGGGAGTGACCCACACAGGAGCACAAGGTCCACACCCTGCCAGCATGGTGTGACATACAGGTGTCGCCACCTCAACCATGTCCTGGCCACCAAAGGGAGGGACCCTGGGGACGCGGAGGAGTCAGAGGGGACAGCTGAGCAGGCACAGTGGTAGCCTGGTGGGCAGCAAGGCAGGGTGGTGTGGCTGCACAGGCCTGCATGTGAGTCCCCGCACAGTGACACAGGAGGACACCAGTGCCATGGGGGCCCAGCATGCTCACCTGGAGCCTGAAGTCACTGTCCTCAGCCGCACATTCGTAGACAGGTGAGGAACCCTGTGGCCGCGGCCTAATGATCTCATCTGCAGGTCCCTCCGTCACCTGGTGAGAGAGTAGCAAGTCACTTGTGGCCCCTGGGCTGTCCCAGGGCCTGGGAGAGGAGGGGTGGGGCCCGAGGAGGGCGCATGCCCCGTGCAGCACTCACCGAGCGGTCATCTTCAGTCTCTGCATCCAGCTCCTCCGGCTGCAGCTGCCGGCCAGACACTATGGAGAAAGCAACAGTTAGCAGGTGGGCCAGATGGCCAGTCTGAAGGTGGGGGCTGGGGGAGTGGGTGCACCCATGGAGGTGGTGTCCTGCTGTCCTGGGAGCAAATGTGGTGGGGGGAGAGAAGAGTCCCAGCCATGCAGGTTGGGACATCAAGTCAGGGCGCGGCAAATTGAGACTGGATTTAGATTCATGTTGGGACAGATTTTGTACAAGAACGTTACCAAAGGAGCACAAACAATAACCACACCCTGGGGGACCTGAACCCAGAACTGCTACAGCGTATTATCTAAAATGTCCAACAGTTAATGCGTATTATCTAAAATGTCCAACAGTTAATGAAAAATAAGTGACACAAAGAAGCAAGGATGTGGGATGCCCTCCCAGCAAAAAGCCTTCAGCCCAAAGAAACCAACACCAACATACACACGAATCACAGAGAGAACGAGGGATGCAGAAGACGGCCAATGAGTGGGCAAGCAGGTATTTTTCTCATTTTATTTCTTAACTGCTTTAAAGATGCAAGACTGTGGAAAGCAAAGGTCGGTACACCCTCCTTGCCGAAGGCCAGCCAGTCAGTATTTCAGGCTCCATGGGCCACACGATCTGCATGGCAGCACTACGGCCATGGTTGGCAGTGACTGTAGGCCATCTGTAAAGGAATGAACACGACTGTGTTTCCCTAAAACTTTGCTCATAAAACAAAAAGGAAGCTGGACTGTAAACACAGCAACAGTCTGCGAGGCCCTTCTGTAAGGCAGTAATTCTAAGGTCACGTCGCTGGGATTATAGCATGTAGATGTGACATGCATGTGACAGCTAGCTAAAAGAAGAGGGAGGGGAGGAGATACAATCAGCCTCGTCACCTGTAATCTCCACACCCGTGGCCTCATCACCCATGGCCTCCACACCCATGGGCTCTGCCTCCAACTAATCCTGTATCAAAAGTACTTGAAAAACAATTTGTGTCTGTAGTGAACACATATAGACGTCTTTCTCTTGCCATCATTCCCCAAACGATACAGTGTCCCTAGTAACTATTCATATGGCATTTATGTCAAATGGGGTCCTGCAAGAAATCTAGAGATGACTTCAAATATACAGAGGATGTGTGTGGCTTACATGCAAGCACTGCACCCTTGCACATCAGGGATTTGAGCATCTGTGGATTTTAGTGTCTGAAGAGGTCCTGGAACCTGCCCCCATGGGCACCAAGGTGCGACTGTACATTGGGCTGAAGCCTCTATAATTTACCAGTGTTGAGCATGCCTTGGCTGGAGTGGGTATTGACTGTCAGGGAGCTGATAGAATTTGGAGGTAAGGGAAGGCTCTAGAACTGGATTGTGGTGACGGTGGCACAGCCCCATAAAGTTACTGAACATGATTTAATCGTACATTTACAATGGGTGGGTTCTATGGCTTATAAATTATACTTCAATGAAGCTGTAAAAGAAAATGGTAATTATATAAAACAGAACTAAAATGTATTATAGAATTTATCACAGTGTGCAGGAAGGCCTGGGGTGATTGAAGTGACTGTCGTAAGCTCTCAGGCTACCCTTGAAGTTATGCAGTGCCAGGTGAAGGTATGTTAGAATTAGTTGAAGGCAGTGTTTTCCATACAGCACCCATGAAAATATAAAAAGATGGAGAAGTTACAAGCCAATAGTGGACCTAAAGTAGAATACTAAAACATATTTTTTTCAAATTATTTTTTGATGGGGTTTCTCTCACTCTGTTGTCCAGGCTGGAGGGCAGGGGCAGGATTATAGCTCACTGCGGTCTCGACCTCCTGGCCTCAAGTGATCCTCCTGCCTCAGCCTTTTGAGGAGCTAGGAGTACAGCACATGCCATTATGCACTTAAAACAAATATTATGCTTTGGGAGGCCTAGGTGAGTGAATTGCCTGAGCCTGCGGGTTTCAAGACCCGCCTGGGCAACTTGGCGAAACCTCATCTCTACAATAAATCAAAAAATCAGCCGG